TGTAGCATTTATCCCAGAAGGGCCAAGGCTGATGTTCCTCGGATCCCCTGGCTGCAGATGTCTCGGTTGATGCATACAGAAAGCACCTTCACTGCAGAGCAGTGAGCCAAAAGGAGCTTCTCTGCTGCTTTCTCTCACCCACTTACATTCCTAGAAGGTGAATGCAAGGGCAGCACTTTTTTTTTTTTTTTTTTTTTTTTCTCAGAGATGTCAGTGTTTGGACTGGGGAAATGCTGTTTTAAACGGTTCTTTCCCAACAGGCAAACTTAAAGTACTTTTATCACAACTCTTCAGGTGAAGTCTCATGAGGAAACAGCGTTTTCTCTCCTCCTCCTCCCCCCCCATTTATGAATTCTTAACTAATTAGGATAAAATGACATTGTCACATGTGGAATTAATTGAATTCTGCCCATGATGCTTAAACGCTTTAGAACATTCCTACCTAAATGAGCTCTTTGCTAACAYAAGCTGAATTTTTCTGCTCTCCAGGCCAATTTTTGCACCATAAGTAAATGGTATTTATGCACAGGGAGGCCTCAATGTAATGCCCTTTATTGCGAGTTCTAATAAAAGCCTGCTCTGTTTTGGCTCCTTATTAGAATAATACTATAAATAACCTCTTTGTAATGAGGACTTTAAAAAAAAAAGAGAAATGTTTTGCTCCAGAACCTCCTGTGCACATTGTGCCACCATCTGGTAGATCTGGCTTGCAGGGTAGATACACTTCCCAGAAGTGCATTCCAGCTGGGGTAGCAAAGAGTGCCAGAAGGTTAAAAAAAATGCAGTCTTGAGAGAAAAGTTATAAACTACCTKATGTAAACTAACATACACATAAACACCCAAATAAATGAACAAAAAAACCTGCACAGTGTTAATATACCTGGAAGGGTCCATAGCGCTTACTGAAGAAAAACTCATGCTGATTTAGTGTCTAAAACTGCTGAATTTAATCTTYAGATTGGTGTATGTTATGCTTGTGGAAAAGCGCTTGGAGACATTGCTTTTTTTTTCTGCATTAGATTAATTTTATAGAAAGAGGGCTGTAGTGGGCAGCAATGACTGGCAAGACCAGATACATAACTCAGTGGCAGCAGAAAATTAAAAAATCAACAGTGCTGAGCAAAAGATGATCTAATCATCTAATGCAGTTTTTATTTGGATGATAACATATTTAGAGTTTATATTTTCTCCAGAAGATCTGAAGCAATACCATGTCCCCAAAAAGTTCACTCATCCCTTTTGTGAACCACTTTCAGAAATKGCAGACATCTTTTTCCCTCATAATGCTTTGGTTTTTCTAAGGCAAACACTTGGTTTTCAGTTTTCACATAGGAGATGTACTTCATCTATTGGCATTTGACATATTTACCATCATCAATCTGCTTCATAAACTGTGAAAAAATCTGCTTGCAAGAAATTCCTAGCATATTTTCTCCCATGTCTCAGTCTGAGTAACTAACACCACAAGCATGTTTCTGTAGAGTTCCAGGTGGTTAACTAGAGCACAGGATAAATAACTACTAATCAAATCAAATGATTACACAATTTCTCAGTTTATTATTGTTTAATAAAGGAAACCCCAAGATAAGTTACTTATAAATACATTCCCCATATAGAACAGATTGGTGCAAGGGTTTAAAAAATCTGCATATGAATTACAAAGTCTGGTTCAGGTTACTACAGATTTACTGTAAGAAAACTGCTGTCTCAGGAGTCATTTTCTCAGCCAGCACTGATGGATACATACTAATTTTTCAGTACATGTAAAGTGTTGGAAATGACCAGGAGAACTAACCATGAATTTTTTCTGAATGTCTGTTATATAAACTATGAGTTACCCCTGAAGCTTTGATTTCTAGTCCAAAGGCCCCAAAAGCATAAGCCTCCAGGGGAAAGGTGTACTTTGAATGACAAAAAAAAAAAAGCCAAGAAAGAGAGCAATGTGGGTCTCAAGGATAGGCTGGGGATAAATCTGGTCTCCAGTCCTGGGAAGACACCCACAGACTGAGTGCTAACACCAAAGAATTGCCAGAGCTTGAGCAATTTATCACCCAAAGAATTTGACTGCTAGATTCCCCTGAGGCAGGAGGCGATGGTGCAAGAAGTGATGCAAATGCCCCCATCTCTAATTCAGCAAAAGCAAGAGGACTCCTGCTGCCAGAGGATGGCAATGCCTTCCAGCCTGTGGTTCACACGCTGATTTTTTATGTTGCCTCTAAGGAAGGCGTTACAAGCATGTGCAAGCTGAGAAATATGGCATCCAGAAAGTTTAGGTGTTTGAGGGTTAAGACTGCTCACTCAATTGCAGTTTGGGCTCCTTCTGTAAACGTTTTTTTTATGACAACCTCAATTACTTTATCAGATAAAGATCTTTCCTGCAGTACTGCTGGTGGTGCTGTTAGTTGCAGTGTAGACCTTTCTGTCTGGTGAAAAGTGAAGGTATTCATTAAAGCTCCACCTGTCTCAGTGTGGTGTTGCTTCCCATGAGCAACCTCTTTTTGCAATAGGGACAACCTTCAGGCAAATACAAAAGGTTCTACTAGCGACAAAAAATTCAGGAGTACTYCAATTTTAATTTTTAAGGATTTACTAGGAGGAAGGTTAGTCTCTCAGCCATRTCTCCACTTTAGAAAATCAGTGCAGCTCCACTGTAACCACGGACAGTTATCTCAGCTGCCAGATTTAAAATGATAGGTGTCACGTAGGCACAAACAATACATGACAAATACCCTAAGTGTTTACAATTGCTGTGAAGCATTGCCCATATCACAGTRTGCTAAAGCCTGTTCCCAGGGAGGAAAAACCAGCATGCAGCTGACAGCTGCTCCCTTGCTGGGCAAATGCTTCTTCACAGGCACCACAACCCTCGGCTAGCTATTTCAAAAAGGGAGACGGGGGGTCTTCATCAGAGTTGATTATTGCCAGAAGGAATAAGCYGCAGCCTTGCTTTCCTGTTAGCCTGATTTATAAGGGTTTTTCTATTGCCATTTGTTTGCCTATTTTCCACTGGCCTGCTAAAGTTTGCCAAGCTCAGCAAGGTAGGAAGAAGTGACTCAACATTTTGCGCTTGAGCTTGCTGTTGGTTTCCTACAGCACTTTCTATATGCTACTGTGGGACACGTTGAGTTTGCATGCAATTGGAATTACTTTCACAACTTTTTTTTTTTTTCCTCTGTGTGGCTATTCCTCTACTTGCAGWGAGAAATAGCATGCTACTCCACCAGACTAAACCATGGAGATGTAAATTAACATCCTCCACTCAATGCAGCTGAGCACACTCTGGTATGACAAGCAACCGCTCAGCCCGAGGAAAGGAACTTATCCCTAATGCAGCCTAGGTCTTGTGCAGCCCCAGTGCCCCATCAGAAAAGTGACTTAG